TTCCTTGTAATAAGCATGTGAGAGTTATATAATACAATATATATATATATATATATACATGTTTATATGTTGAAAATTGAGAAGAAGAAGTAAGAAAATCTTTTGAAAAAAAAAAGGAGCAGAGAAATCGAAAAGAAATAAACAAAAGACTATATTACTATAGAAAACAAAGCTTCGTAATTCTATTTTTTGCAAAACCCTAGTTCATTTTTTTAATTGTTCATATTCTGCATTTTGTTTTAGGCTAATACAGTCATAATTTGATATAAATTTTGGGATGAAATGTGTATAGGCGGGAAATTGAGGTAATTTTCCGCTTTTGCCATTATTCCGTAGTCATATGTTTATCACATTACTGACTTCTGTTAAAGACTCATACGGTTAAGTAATAAAAGAGAGATATTAACATTTGACCAAAAGTGTTGGTGGTTGACTCTAACGATTTCATGTATATGAGTCAAAATGAGATTTGGTGCAAAGTGTAGGGGTGCAAAGTATAATTTATCCAAATATAAAGATCAAAGTGAGAATTCAATGCAAATATGATTGTGTTAAGTATGATTTATCCTATTTTCTATACAAAAACCAATGGTAGGAGAAGCAATCAACCTTAGTATTGTGTTTGGATAATAAATTTATATCTGAATTCTTTTTTCTTTTTTTTAAATAAAAAAAAATGAGACAAATGTGAATAACATATAAATAATTTTTTTTTATTATTTTTAAAATTTTTATCTAAATTTATGATTCAAATTTGAAGTGTGAGACTATAATCTTTTTTTAGCCAAATTTGAATTTGAAGGGGGTGGTGTGGTACCAATAAATACTTAGTGCGGATGAACCCGCCCCAAAAGCCAAGAGAAGAAAAACAACAGCACCATCAATGGTTCAAAACCCTCTCAATCATTCAAAACCGAACCTAATGTTCCTCACCCTACATCTAATCATGCCTATTTTTTTATGAGAAAATTTAATTCAGTGTATATTTATAAAAATAATTACGGATAAAATTTTTATAAATATTAAAGATTAAATTTTTTTTTTTTTTTTTAATCAACTTGTAATAATTTTGTGGAAATACCACTGGGTGGTAATTTCCACTTCTTCTTTTTTTTTTTTCTTTAATTCTGAAATGTATTTAATGTAGTTTATATCAATATATACATATATATAGTAATTTTACATGAATAAAATATTAGACTGACTTTTTGTGCAAATCTTTTTATAAAGAGAAAAAAAATTAGGACTTTCAAATTAAAAGAAAATATTTATTAAGATGACTTTCAATGAAAAAAAAAATGGAAGAAGAAGAAGAAGAAGAAGAAGTAATTTTCATATTTTTTTGGGGTAAAATTATCTATATATGTATATTGCAAGATTTAGAATTTTTGAATAGTTCAAAGACAGCTTTATATATTTGCAGGCTTAATTACTTTTTTTGGTACTAAAAATATGTAATTTTTGTATGTTTGATCTTTAATGTTTAAATTGTGTCAATTTATTTTTTAATGTATAAAATGTATCTCAATATGGTACCTCAACCCAACTCCATCTATAGATGGGGATGAATTCAAAAGTAAACGTGGAAACTAAATTATACATAATTTTTTGAGAAATTACAATTTTAGTTTTCAAATATGTAATAAATGTTTATTTTGGTCTCTAATTTTTATATTTAAAAAATTTAGTTCACAGTGTATAAAAAATATTGTAATTCAATCTTTCAATTGAATTCTATCTCTTTCTCCGTCTAAATTAGGGGTGAAGTATAAAAATCATATATACACGTCAACCAAACAAAGGAAAAGGGACAAAAAAATAAAAAAATAAAAGCAAATATTTGCTTTTGACCGCGAAATAGAGCCTTTGTTGAGGAATTTTTACGGCATTAAAAAATGTAATTTTGTCTGCATCGTAATATCTTTGGAAGGAAATATTCTCTCCATTACAAGAAAATGTAATTTTCATGAGGACAACTCCTGGGGTTAAAAAAATTGTCACCCAAACCTTAATTTTCTCAAGGAAATGAGATTTTTGTCGTAAAAATTGTGAAAATAAATTGCCGTTGACCGCGAAATAGAGCCTTTGTTGATGAATGTTGTGAAAATAGAAAGCCGAAATTGACTCTCATGCCAACAATTGATAACATTTGGTGACCGCCGTCACCAAAAATCTTTTTTTTTTATTAGTAAAAATAAATTTATTGATAATAAACAAAATAAATAAGTAAATAAAAGAATGATTACATCAATACAAGACTAAGACTAGTGTATCCCAACAAGATTGGCAGCTGTCAAACCAAAGCCAGAACATAGAGGTTGGCCGGAACCAATTAAAAGCAAAGACACAAAATGTCACATATCGTGTACTTTGAGAATTATATATAAAAAAATTTCAAGTATAATTGAGTTTTCACGTTTATCATTTGCTTCAATTGTTGATATTATGAATTAAAGTAAACATTTTTTTATAAAATAAGAATTAAATTGACATAATTTAAATATTAAAAATTAAAATAACATGAGTTGCATAGTTTGAAATAGTAATTACATAATATTGAAACTTCCTTCACACTACTAATACGAAAACACTTCAAATTTGACTTTAATAGACACCCATCATTTACTCATCACTTCTTTTGGTTCTCATTAAATTACTCCTCTTTTTCACCTACTTTTCCTATTATTCTTCACCAAAGAAAGAATATCTTTTATATTAGTGCTCTACGCTTCTCTCCAGTCCAAACAATATGGAATGGTGTTGCTGTGGACCTCACTATGGGTTCACGGTGGGCCGGTCTTAATTATTTAAAGAATAAGTGTGCGGACCATACTTTTGGTCCTTGAAGATATCATGAATAGGGATATGTGATTGATATTGAATTTGTATGGTGTGAAATTCATGTATAAAATGAATTAGAATCATAATATAATAATTTTGAGTAATTTCTAAATAGTTAAGTCTGAGTTTGTAGTATTACTGTTATTTAAATCATCATTTTATAAGATGAGATTGATTTTGGTGTTTGTGGTTGGTTTCTCATCAACTCTTGATGGTGTGCTAACATATGATTGTGCGGTCTTATTGTTGCCAACCTAGTTGAAATTGATTTGGTTCGCTATGATACTTTTTGCACTCATATTCTTTTTTCTTTTATTGATGTAATAATTTTCTTTTTCATCAATATAGTTCATTTTCTTTGCTGATCAAATAAAAAAAGAAGGATGGTTGTGCCAATGGTACAGCAGCCACTGCTGTTCTAGCGATGGGGCCCATTTCAGTTCATACCTTGATAATCTGAATTATTTATTTTTTAGAGTATGTCAAGTAGAACATCTTTATAAAAAATCAAGTTGATCGGATATCGATAACACTGTGATCGAATCAATTTTGTATTAGTAAAAATAAACAATAAGTATAATTTTAAGTATAAAACTAAATACAAAATTGATTTGACAATAATGCTATCGATGTCTGATTAATTTGATTTTTTATAAAAATATTTTACTTAGCATACTTTAAAAAATGAAAATTCAAATTATCGAGGTACAACCCGAAGTGTGCCCCATTGCCAGAACAACAATAACTACTACGCCAATGGTACAACAACCACCCTTCATCCCATTTTATAAGTCTTATTGAGAACATTATTTATAATATAGATCAAATCAATTGAGCACCGAGTGTCACATATCGGATCACATTCAAAAAAATAAAAGGTCTATTTTTAGAATTGTACTTGTCTTCTATTTCTTTTACATAATTTTGTGATCCGGTCATGTGATTATTGATATTCAATCAATTTTTTCTTTTTAAAGAATAATCTTCTCAACAAGGCATATTATTATCAAAAGAGTCAAACTTCTTTCCAATCCGAAAACAGACTGGATGGTATTGTTTGGCCATGGTGGGTCCGATCCTACGCATGTCTCGATAATCTAAACCGTTGAATGTATAAAACTCATTGAGTACATCATTTTTCCAACAAAAAAAAAATCACGTTAATCGGATATCGATAGCCACTTGATCAGCTTTTCATTTGTGTTTGTGATTTATTTGAAAAATCATAATTGCTGTTGAAACAAATGTAAATTGATCAAATAGTTATAGATATCTGATCAATATGATTTTTTTGCAGAGATGATGTAATCGACGAGTTCTATATATTAAACAATTTGAATCAGTGAGATGAGCCTAGAATCGGTCCCAATTAGACTCAATAGTTCCGTCTAATCTAATTTCGAACTTGAGAGAAACTGTAGCCTTATCAAAATGACCCTGAAGTAAACGAAAAATAAAAATAAAAACTGCACAGTACAATCCATTTATATCTAGGACAAACCGGATTAGAGAAAGGGAAAGACTAAACACCATTAGTCAATTTCAAAATAGCTGTTACCAAGGGGTAGTTTAGGATTTTTTAAATAAGTGTATTTTTTTTAATTTTTTATAAAAAAATATGTAGATAAAATAAATAGTAAAGTAAAAAGGAGATGTTGATAGATGTTAATTGATATAATCTAAATAAGTGTATATATATATATATATAAAATAAATAAATAAATAAATAAATTTAGTGTATGCCAAACACTGACTAATTTAATCACATTTAAAATATTTTCATTTATTTTTAAAATGCTTTTGGCCTCAATCTCAACACGAACTAGTACATCACATATACAGGTATACTATTTCCTGTTTCAAAATATTAGTTTCATATTCTATTTTTTATTGTCTCAAAATATTAGTTTATTTTTATAGATCAAGTATAAAAATAATATAAATTTTCTATTTTGTCATTCTTTTAAATTTATTAATAACATAAAACGTATAATTATGACATTAATATTTCTAAAAAAAATTACTATCAAAAGATAATTTTGAAAAATTAATTTTTTTAAAATATAATAATTGTAATATTAAAAAAAATTGAATTTCACAGATAAAATCATTATTTTGGTACGGATGGAATAATTAGTATGTGCCTATATAAGCATAACCCAACTTCAAACACTCCTCATATAAAGAGAGAGAGAGAGAGAGAGAGAGATGGCTAGAGAGACGCAGAACAAGAGCATGTTCATAGAACAAGCCCAAGAGTCCCTTGAAAATGCAGATACTGGCAAGAACTTCGATGACGACGGTCGCCCCAAACGAACAGGTATCATAAATAAACACTGCTATATATCACAAGGTTTTTTTTTTTTTTTTTCACCGTTTTATATCATCAAATAATATATTACTACTTGGCTTCGTTTACGAATTGGGTTTTGATTTTTGGTTTGTGAAGGAAGTGTGGTGACTGCAAGTGCACATATAATAACAGCTGTGATTGGGTCTGGAGTGCTGTCTCTGGCATGGGCTATAGCTCAGCTGGGTTGGGTAGCCGGACCGGCAGTTCTGATGGCCTTCTCTTTCATCACATACTTCACTTCCACTCTCCTCGCCGACTGTTACAGGTCTCCTGACCCGGTTACCGGCACCAGAAACTACACTTACATGGATGTTGTTAGAGCTCACTTGGGTAAATTTCTCACTCTCACTCTCACTATCACTCAAGTTTTGTTCTCTCTCTCTCTCTCTCTCTCTCTCTCTCTGACTATACAAAACCCACCTTCCCACCTCTCAAATTCAATGCCATAATTTTATTAATGAAAAAGTCTAGAAACAAATAAACTGATCATATGAAAATTATGTCTGATCTGACTCTTAGAAACACATAATCATATAAAGATTGCGTCTGATTTTTTTGATTGGTTTCTATGCAAAGAGTAATTTATATACATATATACATACATATATATATATAAACTAATTACATAATAGATCACTAAAATACAGTTACAATTTAAAATTATGAGGGGCAAAATTTCTAAGTGTAGTAGTTTCTTCAATGACAAGCACCAATGTTTAATATCTGTAGCTATATATATATATATATTTTCATGTATCTTTTGTGATTAATTTTATGATTGGTTTTATTGTTGTTGAAACTATGACATGGGTAAAGGTAGAAATTTCAAATATTAATGGGTTTGGGTCTTTCGTGTTTTTCTCAGGAGGTATCCAGGTGAAGCTATGTGGAATAGCTCAGTATGGTAATCTCATAGGTGTTACAATTGGATACACAATAACTGCATCTATTAGTATGGTGTGAGTATAATTTTAATGGACTTGCTTTTCGGTTTTGAATCTTCTTATTTAGTCTTTTATTGTCTTATTTGTAGTTGGGAGAGAATTCAAAAATGAGTGAGACCCCCACTGAGGTGATCCCACCAATGCTGATTAGTCTAATTTTTTTATATTTTTATCCTCCTCTCGTTGACCCCAACGTGTATGTGAGGTAGTGGAGGTCACCCTCGAGTGGGGTCTGTATTAGTTTTGGGGGAGAATTCTTTCCAGTCCACTGTGTGGGTTGGAGGCTTTGTGGGGTGCAGATATACCATACAATGATTTAATTTTTTTATTTGTTATTTGTACGTTATTCATAAACAGAATTATATTAATTTAGTAATTATAATTATGTGATTTTATTAAAAGAATTATGAATTATTTTTAAAATTATACTTATCGTCTATTTTTTTAAGACAAATATATATGATGAAATAATATAGTTATAATTATCTTATCAATCTAATTTTTTTCATAATTAATTTATACATAAAATTTGAAAAAATGAACAATTCAAATTGTCATAATAAAACTTGTGATACACCTCACAAACCCCAACAATACCTTCTAAACAACAAGGGTGGACCAGACAAAAGTCCTCTCCTTTATAGCAGGACCATAGTGATATATTTTTCCGTTCTCTTGACAAACTATTATGTGCTCCTTTAATTAAATCCATGTAGTTCAGTACATTAATAAATTGTGTAATAATTAATTAATTATTCATTTATTTATTTTTTATTACTCAATACTCAATGACAATTTATTTACCCACAATAATAATAATACAAGTGAGCTCATTGTTTTGTGTCATGAGAGGCAACACGGGTTCTTGTAGGAGAGGTGAGAATTCAGATCACTCATAGTACTAATCTAACAAAATAATTTACATTCACTAGTTAATAATAACAAGAGTTTATTTCACTTTCTATTCTTAAATTATTTTTAAATTATTTATTTAGTTTCTAAACTATCTACTGAGTTAAAAAAAAGTCCCTAAAGTATATAAATTAAAATTTACTTAAGTTCTTGAACTATCGATTAAATCTATTAAATCCTGAAAATATCTAATTCAAATGTATTTAGTTCCTAAAATGAATACAAAAATAAAATATAAATCCATAAGTACTATAAATTAATAAAATATTCTATATAGTTAAAATTATATTCCAAAAAAACCTAAAATTTTTATTTTGTCGGGTTGTTTTTCTAGTGAATTTCCTTTATAAGGAGAAGGGTAATTATGTGTACTATTTTCTTGCTTGTATTCTACAATAGCCACTTACTTGCCTTAATCTAATATTAAATGTCGAATTTCGTCTATAATTTTTAATTGATTATCTTTAAAAAAAATTGTTAAGTTATTTTAATAATTAATGTATTATTTATTGGGCAACTTATACTAATAGTCCCTATATTTTGGGACTCGTGTCATTTTGGTCCCTGATTTTTCAATTGTGACACGTTTGACTCTAAATTTTGAATCTTGTTCCAAATAAGAACGATTGAAGATACCATTGTTTAATTTCAAGGGCAAAATTATCAATTTAATAAAATATAAACTAATTTGATAAAAATAAATGTCACAAAAATATTTCTAATTTTTTAAAATTATTTTTATCCACCAATGATAAAATTATGTAAAATTGATAAAAATTAATAAAAATTACATGATTAATTTTTAAAAATTAATTTTACATGATCATCATCCAAACACATAATAAAAATTAATTTGGTAAAAAAAATAAATAAATGTCTAAAAGATTTATCAATTTTATATAATTTTATTTTTAGTGGATAAAAATAATTTTTAAAAATTCAAAAATATTTGTTTGACATTTATTTTTTTCAAATTAGTTTATATTTTATCAAATTGATGATTTTACCCTTGAAAAATCTAATGATATTTTTAATTGTCTTTATTTGGAACAAGATTCAAAATTCAGAGTCAAATGTGTTACAATTAAAAAGTCAAGGACCAAAGTGATACAAGCTCCAAACTATATGGACTATTAGTGTAATTCACCCTTATTTATTCTATTTTAATTTGTAGCGAAGTGCTATTATTTAAAATATCTTAGTTTAGTTTTTCAGTATATCTAATACTTAAATAATTTTATTAGCAATATTAAGAAACCAAACTCTTATACCAATTTAACAAAACACATTATAAAGACATAATGGAAATTAAAAGTTTTTCTATAATGAAATTTGAACTAAGTAGAGTTTTTTAGTAATTTACAATATTTATAAGCTGGCATTTTATCTTTTCATGGACTAAATATGTTTGAATTAAATATTTTGGGGATGATAGATTCAATTGATAGTTTAGAGCCTAATAAAATTTTGATTTATATACTTGAAATATTTAATAAACTCAATCGATAGTTTATGGATTAAATAGACAATTTAACAGTAGTTTATGAATAAATTAATTAATCCTAATAATAATAATAATAATAATAATAATACATATGGAATCCACTCTTTTTTGTGTATAATGATTCAAAAATAAATAAATAAATAAATCCACTTATATATTCCAGTTATTGAAATTATCATATTATATCAAATGCATTCTAATTGAGTCAATCATATAGATTAAATTAAGCAAATAATAGTCGGAATGAGAGAAATGAGATGAGAGTGAATTTCACTGACAATTCCAGATAAGTTTGTTTTTCATTTAAAGGTAAGATAAGTTTGATTTTCAAATGATTATCGATATTCGATCAACGCAATTTTTTATAAAAATGATATACTCGATAAACTCTACATATTGAATGGTTTGAATTATCAAGATAAATTCGAAATTGAGCCCACCACGGTCTAACAACACCATCCAGCCGAATTTCGAACTGGAGAGAAGCTGTGGCCTTAATAGATTTAGAATTTCATCACAACCATTGATGAAGTGGAGTGTGTTGATTTATTCACTACAACATATCAGAGTTTTAAAGATCAAGCTTTTTTTTGTCTCTAAAAGTATAAATTTTGTTGTAAAAAATATTTAGAGACTAATTTCAATTGTTGCAAGGATAGTCGCTAAAAAGTCGTCCAAAAAAAATCAAAAAATGGGCTTTTAGGGACAATTTTGGAAATGTCACTAATAAATACATTTTTAGGGACAAAATAACTTAGTCCCAAAAAGGTTTATTTTTTAGACAAAATTTTTGGTCCTAAAAGATCAGTAATTCATCACTAAATGTCTAATTTTGTAACTAAAATTAAAATAATAGCACTTTTGATGACAAAAATATTTTGCCTGTAAAAAGTAATTTTATCTCTAAATTCTTGTTTCTAAAACTTTAATTTCTTGTAGTTATGAAAGTTGAAAAGTTCAAATAAAAAAAATTTCTTCTGCTTGCATAGGACTAGTCACATAATCAAATTCAACCCTCTCATGTGAGTATGGAATCACAACAAGGTATAACCCACCTAATATGGGAAAAATATGTGAGATTTTGTGATTTTCTTTTTCCTTTTATTATTTATTAAAGTTCAGGTTGTCAAAAAAATAATTTACCTGTTATGTGTTTCTTATTACATCGTGAATCAGGGCAGTGAATAGGTCAAATTGTTTCCACAAATATGGTCATCATGTGAAGTGTTCAACATCAAACTATCCCTTCATGATCATATTTGCCATCATTCAGATCATTCTCAGTCAAATACCAAATTTTCACAAGCTCTCATGGCTCTCTATTCTCGCAGCTGTCATGTCCTTCGCTTATTCTTCCATTGGTGTTGGACTCTCCATTGCTAAAGTAGCAGGTAAGGAAGAGAGAGAGAGAGAGAGAGAGAGAGAGACTAACATATAACAAGTAGAGCTAAAAATTTTTTGTAGAAACTTGAATAGATTATGTCAATCACATTTATTTTGGTATGATCTAACTTAATTTTAAATATTGATATGAGAAGATGTATCAACATCGATCGGTCGTAGGATTATAATATTTGGAATATAAAATCAAATCAATTTTTATTTTTTTAATTTTATAGTAGTTGAACCAGTCATATTTACACTGACCATATCAATTGTAAATCAATTATAGACTAATACATATCGAAAATCAAACAATATATATTATTTTTATTCTATCTAATATACCAAAATATATAAATGTCAAAAATATGAAATAAAATACCCCCCAAAAAAAAAGGAAAAACCCATCATGTAGATATTTAAAATCAAGTCCAAATTATGCCAAGTTTAAATTGCGGCTATCTTTAGCATTAACGTGAGATGACCCTTCTCATATTACTATTTTTCCTATTATTTTTGTTATTGTTGTTTAAATATTTGCTTTGTATCTGAGTTGTTGTGATTAATGATTGGTTAATGTGATATGGTGTGGTGAATGCATGACTATGGGGGAAGGAGGTGCACATGCAAGGACAAGCCTAACAGGAGTGACAGTAGGGGTAGACGTGTCAGCATCAGAAAAGGTTTGGAGAAGCTTCCAAGCCATTGGAGACATAGCATTTGCTTATGCTTACTCCACTGTTCTCATCGAGATACAGGCAAGCTCCTCCTTCAGCTTCTGTATCTATCTGCAACATATCATGTATGTATCCATGTATGTATGACCACTTTTAGAAACAAGAGACATTGTTTGGTGATTATAATGAGTGGCATAGTGAGTATTAAAGATTCAGTTTCTCTCCAATACTCTCTTCCTCTAGTCATTATTCAGTAATTGATTCAAATGACTAGTTGTTGGACTTGTTAAGTGACTTAGTTTTCTCCATCATCCAAACAACTAACCATTTAAATCAAGTGCTAAATAATAATTAAAGAAGAAAGTGTTAAAAATGATCCTCTTCCGACTAGGATCAGATTGAAACTGAGAGCCCTGTCATATTATGCATATACCTACCGAAAGTGACAAAATATGTTTGGTCCAGAGGGTGTCTCCATGTGCTTTACTTGCAATAAGAACCAAATAATTAGCGGACTCTTGTCCACTAGGTCTAATCCAAATGAAGGCCATTTATGACCAAATATAGTTTTGTTCTTCTCTTTCTTTTTTCCTTTTACAAGAGTTTAGTGTCCATACAGATTACAGAGAGATACATTTCAGTGATTCGTTATGGACCGTTGGAATTTATGGACCACAAGCCTTCAGAGATTTTGGCCACTTAATGAATTAGGCCTTTTCACAACGAAGTGAGAGCCCACCACCCTTTTCTATTTTTGTGGGTAAGATCCATCTGATGATAAGCACGAAACTGTTTGGTCCAACCGGCCATTTATATTTTTTTTTATTTTTTACTTTTTTATAGAGGTTAGTTTGTTAATAATAACTAAAGGGTCGTCGCTACTCAATATCAATTTGAACTCCTGACTTTTCCCTCACCACACCCTATGGTGTGGTTATGAGACCACTGGGCCAAACTAATTGTCTGAATTGGCTAGTTAGGCAAATCTGAAAACCTAAACCTTGTAAGGTACACTTTAATTTTTAGAACAAATCATACTAAGATCCTCTTTAATAAGGCTAAAATGACATGTTTGTTAGATAAATCGGATTAGATTACCTTTACTAGGACTATTAATAATCATGGCATTATCAATCCTTTCGAATTGTATTCACCAAAAAATTACAAATTGTATATCATATCTCATGCTTAGATTGTTCTAAGATTATGAAAAATGGATTGATAAAATTTATTAATTTTTTAATTTAGTCAATTAATATGCACTACTCTGAACATTTTAATGGAAAGAGAAAAAGATATAGGCTGATCAAAGGAACTGTTGTGGGTCATAGTGAACTAAAGTTGTCTCATCTTTAGTTCGCAGATGACACAATTATTTTTTGTGAAGCAAATTGGGAGGAAATCATTACAATAAAGAGAATTTTGAGACGTTTTGAAATAATGTCTGGGTTGAAGATTAATTTTCATAAAAGTAAAGTTTATGGAATTGGTGTTGAGGATGATTTGGTGAAGGCCTTTGCCAAAAAGTTGAATTGTTTTAACTCAAAAGTTGCCTTTGAATTATTTAGGTTTGCCTTTAGGTGCAAATCCAAGGAGTACGAGAATGTGGCAGCCATTGGTTGATAAATTTAAGAAGAAACTAGCTTTATGGAAGAGGAAATGCTTATCATTTGCAGGTAGACTTACCCTAATTAAGTCTGTATTATCAGGTTTTCCTATATATTTTGTGTCTATATTTAAGATGCCAATGGGTATTGCCAAACTGTTAGATAGAACACAATCCACTTTTCTGTGGGGTGGTGATGAGGTGAAGAGAAAAATGCACCTTGTAAAGTGGGAGGAGGTGTGCAAAAATAAAAGCAAATGTGGGCTTGGTGTGAGGAAGCTCAGTGAGTTCAATGAGTGTTTGCTAATGAAATGGTGCTGGAAGTATGGCTTTGAGGATAAAGCATTATGGAAACAAGTGCTATGTTGCAAGTATGGTTAGTTTGATGGTAGATGGAGTCCCTTGGCAATGGAGTTAGGGGGGGTTTCGTTTTTGTGGAAGGATATTCTGTCTTGAAGTGGTCTTGCGAATTATTAGAGCAATTTCCATCAGCTCACGAATGGGATAGTTTTTTTTAACTATGTTGTTTGGATTGGGTGGTGTATATGGAAGGATCACAATAGTTTTGTCTTCAATCATCATCCGATAGAGCCCTCCTCGACTTTACATAGAGCTCGAGCAATGAAAGAGAAATTTGACTCTGTTTTCGAGTCTAAAGAGGAGTTACATTCTCAGGTTTTGGATAGAATCCTTTGAGGGTGTGTAACGCCTCGAAATAAATGCTATAAACCATCTACAATATCGATCACATAACAACACGTGATGAAATAATTATCTTTTATTTATCTCAATAGCTTGTATAAGAGGTGACATATGCAGATATAAATTCATAAGTCTAACCCTGAATCTATAGCATATGTACAACAAGAGATAAGATATGAAAGTAAAATAAATAAATAAACGCCCTAAAGGCTTAAAACTTTCCAAGATAGTTCTTGGTTACAACAAAAGTGGACTTAAGTCCAATACAGTTTAAGCTCTTGGCTTGTACAAAATAAATACAATAAATACAAAAAAAGAAGTTGTCGCTTCAAGTCCTCCCAAGCTATTACCTTGGCGGATGTATATCATCAGCACTTGAAATGTTTTTTCTACGTAGGGTGTGCCAAAGTCTAGTAAAAATAATCCAACACAGTATATGGACTTTAACAAAGCTATAAAGTGAATGCATATGCAATGCTCGTGCCAAAACATCTTTTTATATCTCTTTCCAAAACTATACAATGCCAAGTTAATGTCTCAATTCATAAATCATTTCTATTTCAATAGAAAATAAGGTAGTGAATCACACTCTGAGAATTTCAAAACAATACAACCTTTTCTAGAAATTTTGTACGGAGGAAACCGTAAATGGGCACCTATGTATACGCGCGATTTTTGGGACTTTCACTCAGGACACACAAGCCAACCTAATTGATGTAACAATAATTCATTTCCTAGATTCACCCATTTTCTCAAAACAGTAACATTTTCAATGTATAAATATGAGATAATGATCAATGCAATGAATGAAAAAATAGTTTCAATTCTCCTAATTCACATGTAATTTCTATAACACTCATAGCTATCCTCTACCAATAGCCCAAAATAGATATTTCTCAACAAATAAACAATTATCAATAAAGATAAACTTTTTAAATTTTCAAGTGGTGAGTGATAATACATATCTAACTTCATCATACTCATCAACATCATCTCAATTTCACAATTCCAATATCAATCACAAAATTTATACAAGATTAATATTTGAGACATTTAAGACAAAATCTCTTTTTCTCCCAAAATCAATCCCAACATTCAAAATCAATAATTTATTCCTAACTCAACATTATCTTTCACATAAAAATCATTCTCAAGAATCCATTTGAAAAACCCCTCTTTTGATTTTTACCCAAACCCTAGATTGTTCCAAATCTTTTAAAAATCTCAACATGGCTTACAAATAACAAATAACTAAGTTCAAACTCATAAAAAGTATAGAAAGTATCCCTACCTCAAGCTAGAACACGAGAGAGAGAGAGAGAGAGAGAGAGAGAGAGAGTGAAGGAAACCCAAAGATGCCAAAAACCAACTTTGCTCCATTTAGAACAAAGCCTGCATCTTTTTAACAAAGGCACACGGGTGAAAAGAACGACGAATCTAGGCGTATTTAAGGGAAATAGGTGAGTTTTAGAGAGGGAGTGAGAGAAAATAGGGTATTGAAATGTTTAAAGAGAGAGAGAGAGAGAGAGAGAGAGAGAGAGAGAGAGAGAGAGAGATGGGTGAAAAAGTGACTTAGAAAAGTGATTTTACGAACTGATATACACAGTTCACTTAAGCACAAGATGTGTCGCTCGAGCAACCAGACGCAATAAGTTGTTCCGTTCGAGTACAAGAAGTGTTGCTCGAGCACAGAATACAAACTCCTAGTATTTTTACAGACAGAAGACCGTCGCTCAAGTCCCAATAGTTTTACAAACCTGCAAAAGTACTGGAGGTTCACAAAGACCGCTCGAGCGAAGGAACAAAAATCTAAGCAACAAAAGTTTAAAAACAAGCTACCAACTTGTTCCAAATGCGATCAACACATCCCAAAAGCCAAACTCAAGGAGAATTAGTGGGAAACAAGACAAAAACAACTATATAAAGAAAAGAAACCTGAATCCAAAAGTCAAATGGGTCGGATTTAAACCAGAAACGCTATAGAGTGAATTGGCGGCAAGGCTTCAGATCTGGTGCTCTTAAAATTAACTTTGATGTGACTTTTCAGAAAGGGACCTAGGTTGCTTCTACTGTAGTTCTCGTGAGGGATGCAAGAGGCAGGTTGGTTGATGGTCTTACCAAAAGCTAGAAAAGCTCTTCTTCTTTGCGGGGTGAAGCCTTAGCATGTAGAAGTGCATGCCAACTAGCACATGGTTGCAATTTCAGTTCAGTAGAAATTGATGGAGATAACCAAGTTGTTATTCACCTTTGTGTCACTGAAGCAGTCCCGCCTTGGGAGTGTGGTGCAATTTTCATTGATATTAGGCGAATGGCAGCTCACGAGCGCTTTTCCTTCAATTGAAGGCCAAGAACAGCTAACAAAGCTGCTCATTGGGTGGCCCAAGCCTCTCTCCACAGCCGCCTTCTTATTTATTGGGTTGCCAACCCTCCAATAGAGCTTGATGTGCTTCTAAGAGATTCGTAGTTTAGGCTCCTCTTTTTTTTTTTTTTTGCTTTTATTAGTTTTCTTCTGGTTATGTTTGCCTCTGCTTTGGGTTCTCTATTTGTAATGCTTCTTATGTTCAAAAGACTTTTTTTCAAAAGAAAAAAAAAAAAAAAAGATGAACGAGAGATGAGTATAGAACCACTTCACATGAGTCTTAACAACGTGATTAGGAATGGAATTAGGGATCTCAATTAGGAAATGTAACATCTCTCAAACTTAAAATATACAGATCTACTATTTGTGAAACAAACCCTTTTTTTATCACTAGACTAGTCGTCTGATCTTTGTTGTTTTGGTGCAATCCATTCATAACTGATCGCCGAAATGACATTGAACTATTAGCGTTACATTTGAGCCCACATATGCGTGAGTGGCCCAAATTCTACTTAGCAAGTTGGAAGTTTCATTTCTAGTTTGATCTTCTAAAATTTTATCGAAATAATTAAAAAAAACAATGAAGTGGTGAATAATTTAAATGTAACAAGTGATTGTTTGTCAAAGGCAGTGGCTTGCCTCCGGTCCAGATCTGGACTTGAGGGTCCAGTCCGGCCCATTGGGCTTATTTTTGGGTTTCTTTTTGCTAATCCAAATCGTTCATATTTTAGGGTTCGTCGAGTACATTATCCCTGTAAAAAATCACGTCGATCGGATAACAAATACTATGTATTCGGATCACTTTTTTATGAACCGTTAATTTTCTAACCGTCCATTTTTTTCCAAACAAAAGTAATCTGAATACATAGTATCTGTTATCTGATCAACGTGATTTTTAACAGGGATAATATACTCAACGAATCTTAAAATATGAACGGTTTGGATTATCGAAAAGGGGCCCAAAAATAGGCCCAATGGGCCGGACTGGACTGGACTGTCCCAGATTTGGACTGGAGACAGTCCAGACGCTTTGTCAAATGTATCGATTGTTTATATAAATATTGTTGACTTTGTCAATTACAAATGTCTATAAATAAAATTTTTAAGGTTAAAATTAATTAAATTTTATATTCACTCAGCTATATCATAGGGAATGTTGAATAAATTTGTTATCACAATAAAAGTTGAATAAATTAATTATGTTATTTATTGAAAAATATGTAGTACATAAGTTAGATTTTGCAAATTTAATTAGTAATTTTACATTTAAGAATGTGAGAAGAGTAATATTTATGTGATATTTTGATCTAATTTTTGTTTTGTATTATATTTTTTAATTTTTCTTGAAAAATTTAAAATAAGACTTTTTTTTTTCTTTTTAATCTTTTTGAGTTCTAAAGCAACAAAACCATTTTTTTAAAAAAAATATTTTTGACTTGTAATGATGTGTTTTTATCTTAATCTATATAAGTAAATTTGGATACATAATTTTAACAAATACACACACACATATATATATATATATATGCAAGCAAACTTTGGGTGAATATTAATAAATAAAAAAAATATGCATACATATCATTTTACTAATAATTTATTTTAATAAGTATAGAGGTCTTGTTTGTTTCTAGAGTTTGCCTATGGTCACCAAAACTAAGGGCCGGCCCTGCTTGAATCCACGCAAACTAGGCTCCACTCAAGACAAGTTCCAAAATGATATTAATCATTGATCTGGTAGATAAGATGCTCGCGTATTCCACTGCTTTCATGATGCATCTTCTCTCTCTCTCTCTTATTTCTCTCCCACCATTTGTATAAAAAAGAAAAACAAAAATCCAAAACACTCAGATCTTGACCTAGTATAAACTTGCAAAATCGAACCCACTTTCATGTACAACAATAGTTAGGAAAGACATCAAAAATAGGTGATCCAGAGGGTTAGAAACTTAGGACACAAAATTCTCCACCCCAAGAAGGTGTTTATTCCTTGTTTCATGCATGACCAAAGATTTACCCTTTTGTTTTCAAATTTATGTGTTTCCTGTCTTAGGAATGTAATCAGTTCTGCACGGTCGGCAAGATAAAATTTGTCACCAAACCGATAATGTCAATTTTATCATTTTTAGCACCGATATAGACCACTTTTTCCATTAAACCGTACTAAATCATACCAATTGAAACAGTTCGGTTTATTACAATTTAATCGATTTAGGATTTTTCAAATTTAAGTTATTTTTCGTGTAGTCACTTGTTTATATAAAAATATTGAATTTGCCATTTATCAACCATTTCAAATATATCAAATTCATCAATTTAATAAATACTTTACAATTTCTATATTAACAAAAATACAAATAAAAAATAATAATAATAATAATATTAACAAAAATACAGATAAAAAATAATAATAATAAATACTAAAGATTCAAGAATAGTGAGTAAGAGTTAAAGATTATATATAATAAGGGTATCCTAACGTAGGTAATAGGGATGATAAGGATAATTAATTGATATTAATAATTTATTATACTCATTAATATCATTATATTATTAAATTATATATGTTATAAATATAATTTATGTTGAAGCGATTGGTTTCGGTTTAATTAGGCGCATAAAGTGCTTAAATCGATGCTGAATCGAAAATCAAAAAAAATAAAATTAAAAAAATGGCACAAATCAATTCTTGTTAAAAAATTGAAGAAATACGGCTGGTTTGTTCCAATTCAATCAGTTTGGTCAGTTTTTTCGAATTTTTTTATATACCTTGTTTGAATATACTCTTAGTCATTCTATGATATAATAATCTTGAGACATGATCTAATTGTTAAGAGTACATCAAGTCAAAGGGTCAAAAAAAAAAATTAAAAATTAAAGATAGAAAATCTCATGCCTCCATTGATTCATGATCTAATTTTTTTATTTATAGAAAACAGATTTATGATTGTGAATAGAGTAATGATACATCCCTCTAGTTTTGAAACTCTAATTGAGCTCTAATGATGTGACAAAAAATAAAAAATAAAAATAGAATAAAGTCAAAGCCAAAGCCAAAATATCACATCACAGTGGGATCTATTCCAATTAGAACTCATTAGAGCTCCTTTATTATTGGAGCTCCCAATCATTTTTCTTGTGGATAATGGGACATAAAGAAAGAATTTTTTTTAGAAGAGAGAATGCTAAGCCGAAATTTAGAATCAATTGATTGGAAAACAAGAAGCAGAGAGAGCAAAATGATTGATTATCTAGACCGCATGTCTCCAATCCCACAAGGGACTGGACCAAGGGATGTTAAGGCTCATCAAGATCCATGTTTTGTTGATTTGAACTATATTCATCTCATAAGTCATAGTGCATAGATCATTTATGAAAAATTATGTTAATTTGATCAACGTAATGACATGATTTCATAATAAATTTGTATTCGCAGGACACACTAAAATCACACCCTCCGGAGAACAGAGTGATGAAGAAAGCTTCACTAGTGGGAGTTTCAACAACCACCCTCTTCTACGCCTCTTGCGGTTGTCTTGGCTATGCTGCTTTTGGAAACAATGCACCTGGAAATTTCCTCACTGGGTTCGGTTTCTATGAGCCTTTCTGGCTAATCGACTTTGCTAATGTTTGCATTGCTGTTCACCTAATCGGTGCCTACCAGGTATGTAACGTATAAATTTCGATTAATTACACTAATATCCTGCCTACATTTGATTTGAATTGAATTTAAACAAATCAACTATAAAGTTATATTACTTTCACATCTTTCAGAAAGAGTACACTTATACTATTTTCTTATGATTTAAGATTTAAATGTACAAATTTAAAATTAAGAGGTAAAATAATATTTAAGTAATTAATAGCTAAAATAAAGTATTTGTAACTAACTTGTAAATTCAAAATGAATAAAGCCCCAAAATCTCTTGTTCCCAAATCCCTGCAAGGCTGGCAAATCCAAGTTCAAGGCCACCTAGGGCCATGGGTCATTCTTATATCATAAGTCAATTTAATTTCGTTTGCAATATCTTATCAGATAGAATAGTATCACCGTTGCATTTAATATTTATTTATTTACAGTGCACACTTCTGGCATGCTTCGGCAACATGCATTCACAATGCCAACCATGTGTTCTCAATATACTCCCAATCATATGATTAAAAAAATAAAAAACGAAATAACTGCATGTAATTTCCATTTAGTTGGGGTCTAGAAGGGTATAGATTAGGTACAGAGTTAGTCTCAACATAATTTGCACAAAAGTGGTTACTCTTAACTTCAAATCCACAATTTCAAAATTAGTAAGTCAAGGTTTAACCATCGAACTAGTAGCCCTTTGTATATACTATAAACTTCAAAACATGAAAATTCCAAGGCACCATGACAATCCTAGAAATGCATTTGGGAACAAAAAATTTAATGACAAATCCACCATTGTCTATACACGATTGCCACACCTGCAGGTTTTTTGCCAACCCATATTCGCATTCGCAGAGAGCCGTTGTCACAAGCGCTGGCCAGATCGCAAATTCATAACAAGTGAGTATGCCGTAAAAATCCCATTTTGGGGTGCCTATTACATCAACCTCTTCAGATTGGTGTGGCGAACAACATACGTAATATTGACAGCAGTGCTAGCCATGATATTCCCTTTCTTCAACGACTTCCTGGGCTTGATCGGTGCAGCGTCATTCTATCCATTAACTGTGTATTTCCCCATAGAGATGCACATTGCACAGTCAAAAATACCCAGGTTCTCATTCACATGGATTTGGCTGAAAATCCTCAGTTGGGCTTGCCTTGTCATATCGCTAGTAGCTGCTATTGGATCAATTCAGGGACTAGCTGTAGCTCTCAAGACATACAAGCCCTTCAAAACTCAGAATTAACTAATATTTGTACTATTAACTAAAATGCAATGTGATCTGTAATTGATGAGACTCCTTTGCTTGCTACTCGAAATGTATGACAATTTGGAAGCACATCTAAATAGTATAAAAGCACAATCAGTTTGAGTATTACAGGTTTTCTAGTCACATTATGTCTATAAATTCATTTAAAATTCACACAAAACCATATTCAAGAAACTTCAATATGGTCCGGCATGAGTAAGCTTCCATGATATTCAGATCTGTTCTTCGAAGAACACAGAACAGGCAGTTTCATTATGGCATATCTAGGCAGCTCTCAAGTGTATGGTATATTGTCATGGAAGTTACAAGCATGTCTGATTCAGCTTTAGATGCCTAACACTATACAACAAATTACAAAGCAAACCAAACTTTTGGAAGAAGCAAACCTAGGAGTTGTCTGGTGCAACTGAAAATCCAAAAACAGAATTTAAAAGCACCCTTATCCTAACTTTTAGATAGTCAGTTTTTTGTTTTTTTCTTTCTTTCTTCTTTTTTTTTTTTTTTTCACTCATAAACTATATGCAGAACTTCTCTAGTGCAGATTCCCAATATTTAAATAAATAAAAATAAAATAAAATAAAAATAAAAATCAACTATTCCATTATGGCCCCAAGTCATGAGAAAGTAAGAATCTTAAGTAAAATCATCCCGATAGCAACTTCAAATTGGAATAAAAGTAGGCTACCTGACCATCCCATCAAAATATCGACTTTAAACCGCACTAACAAAATTTCCCCAAAGATTCTTAAATATCAAATGGCCAAAAAATTTATTTATTTATTTTTCCAGGTCGTAAGTGACCAAAAAGGTGAATTCCTGATAAATAGTTAATATTTCGAATTTTATGTAATACATCCAATATGTTATATTCCACAAAAAAATAACAAATATCAACCAGAAATTAATCAGTACTCTTTCAAAAACAAATATTTAAATCCAAAAAAATAAAAAATAAAAGTGGATGAAGCTTTTATTTGAATGTGCAACAACAGAAATCAAAAAAATTTCTACAACATTTCCACTACTCAATCTGCGAAGTTTAGGTGTTGTCTTAGTTTAGTCCAACCAAATGTCCAACATTCTCCAGCCACCATGGTCTTCAGCTGAGTAGCACGTTTTAACCAGCACAAATTGTCATATATTAAATTATTTCTTGTAAAAACTATGGTTGCGTTTGGTAGAGTTTTAAAATTTTGATTTGATAATAGAGTTGTATTTTGAATTTGTGAGTTTTGGAATTATGATTTTAAAAGAGAAAAATTGTTTGGTTATGAATTTTGAAAAGATTTTTAAATTGAGTTTTGAATTTTTGATTTGACATATGAAAAGAAAAAATTTGTCGGTTATGAGTTTTGAAAAGAGTTTTCAAAACTTTATTTAAAAACTTATAACTCATAACTAAACACATTACTCAAAACTCTATTCAAAATTTTATTCAAAACTCATAATCACACTCTTTTCAAAATTCAATTTAAAAAAATAATTTCTCATTTTGGTCTGAAAAAAATAATTTTTATATTTAAAAAATATCAAAACAATTTTTTTTCCCCCCAAATAACAGGTAATTGGCAAATTGCAAAAATACATAAACAAATAATGTACTGTTCTGGTCAGCCGGCCGGTCGACTGGGCGGACGACCTGGTAAATCTAAAAAAATTGAAAACCCACTAGGAAGAGCTGTACCAAACATGTTCTGAAAGGTATTTTGAAATGTGAGGTTAGAATTAGTTTTTGAAAACTCCATTCAAACAGAGACTTCGCGTATGAGGGTGGAACTAGGATTCCAAAGCTACACCAAACACAGCCTATGAAATTATTAAAGTAATTTAACCAAAAAAAAAAGACTATAAACAAAACTATCACAAGAATGTCATATAACGTTATACATTGCTTTCAAAATTCAAATACTAGAACTAGGATACTTCCCAATACAGTTATTGAGGAATTGAATGTAACTGTTAATGTAAATTGTATAAATTACCACTACCTACCACCTCCACTACCACCTACACCTACCACCTCCACTACCACCTACACCTACCACTATCACCTACCACCTACCATCTTCTCTTCTATATATACAGTTGTAATACATAAACACAGAATTAATACAATATCATCAATCTTGTAATATATATCAAATCAATCAATAATACATATAATCTTTCTCTATCAATTTATTTTACAGTAACTAACATGGTCTTCTTGTGGCAGAAATAAAAGGACAAAAACCTGTGGCACTAGTAGATTTTGAATATTGTCAGACAATATTAGGACAAAGATATGAGTAGTAAAATGAATTCAAAATAGAAAATATTTGATTCAAAAATTCATAAGATATAACGAGATTTTACCAGTCAATCTTTAATTAAAAAATCCAAAGGTGAAGATTGTTCTCAATCTCCCTTCGATTTATTCTCCAGTATACAAGTCAATGGTTTAGTGTTTCGAAATAGAATCATGCGGTACATAGAGTGAATTTTAATATTCTGATAATGCAGAGAGCAATGAGAAACTATTGAGTTTGCATAAGCCAAAGGAAGATGAAATTACCAGTTACTTTTTAAATCAGCAAAGTTTTCTCCTACTTTTCATGGCAACCAGCTGCTCAAGTGGATTGGAGGGAAAGGATGGCCACTCCCAATGATCGGAATCATCATTGAAAGTGGCTGTCTAATAATGATCAGTCGAGAGTGTAGGAGGGGGAAACAAACCCGTACTTTTTCATAGTGACCAACTTCTCAAGTGTGGCGGGAAGGTGATGGATGGCCATGCCCAACGATCATTTGAGATTTACTTACGACCATTAAACCTCAACATGATGGTCTTCTTAATGGCACCCTTGATTATCATAGTGACCATCAATGCAAGCCTCATGAAAAAACACATGGCTCATGGGCCGGCCTGAGCTTGGCCCGATCCTAAAAATTATGGGCTATTGTTGGGCTGAGAGGTAAGGTCCATGGGCTTGACCCATAAGCCCGTGCCAATGGCTCATTTAAGTTTTGTTACCATTGAGAGCTTTATACTTTTTTTTTTTTATTAAAGATGGTTCTCCATATGATTGAAGAATAACACTAAAAATTATTTTTTTCTATTAATTTCTCATATATACATAGTTTATTTGGCTAGAGAATAGAAATGATTGATAGGTTTGTATGTGCTAACCTAGTTAGCATATACTTCTCTTGTAGTACTACAATGAATTGTAATTTTGTATTTCACTTAAATAGATAAAGTTTAATTTTAATTTTTTTTTTTTATATTATCAAATATGCAAATATAATTGTTAAGGTGTCTTTAAAAATAATATATTATAAATTTTGAAATTTTTCAATTACTTTCCAATTTAATTAAAAAAAAACAAAAACAAAATAAAAACAAAAAAAACAAACAAACAAACAAATATTAAGGCTTGAATTAAGTAGGCCGAAATGGACCAAGCCCAACCCAAGCCCATAAGTTCATATTTTTAAGACCATGACTAAGACTTGGGCTTTATAAATGTAGGATGGATCAATCCGAACTTGGCCCATTGACTAGCCAAAACTCATGGGCTTGGGCCTGAGCCAAGTTTGGGCCTAAAATTTAAAGTTGGGACATTCCATTGCCAAAATTTACATCAATGGCACGCTTGCTAGTGGAGAACTATCATTGGGAGATTTACTTGTCACCATACTCATTTATTGTAACTCAAATCTATTTGAAACCATAAACCTTCCTGTTGCACTCTAATTGTCAAAAATTAATTAGACGAAAACTAATTAATCTAAATATGAGTTTTTCTAAAGAAATTTCATTCTCATTCATTTAATTATTAACAATCCTTCTCGTTAACAATTTTGTTTACTTTTTGAAAGTACATACGAGAAAATATTCTCGAAAATATTTATTTTGAAAGATGATATAACTAAAAAAGAAAATGATAGTACCACAGATGAAAATCATAAATCCACTCTCCATGTATTGCTTTTAATATGACATGCTCTTTACAAACAAAATGGCTCACAAGCCTACAACAATAACGAGGGTATTCCCCTTTACAAAAGAAAGGCGCCCAGTCAAAGAAAACAATTAATGCTGTATTTGATTGAGGGATTTAATGAGGGATTTGAAAAGAGAAATAAAAAAGGTAGGTAAAATGTGAAAAAAATATGCCTACATTTTACATAATTTCACACACCTTTTCCCTTTCCCTTTTTCCTTTCCCTTTGCAAATCCCTCTCAAAATCCCCCAACCAAGCACAGCGTAAAGGCTCAAAACCAAACATAATAAATAATGTGAAAAAATAAGATGTCTAATCCTCAAGCCCAAAGACACCCACCTCTATCTCGCAGCGGGTCAGAAAACTACATGCTCACCAAATAATCTCATAGCATTACTTTAAAAGACATATAGGCATAGTGATACGATGTATACATAATATTGTGCCACGCCAAATGTCTTAGTTTACGTACTTAATCCCTTAGGTTTGATTTATTTAATTAACCCCACCAGTTAACTTAAATAAATTACTAAACAGAAATATGACAAGATTGTCAACAAGACCTTCATTCCAACTTATTTAATTAACTCGTTCTAATTAAATTAAATTAAATAATTATACAAGCTACAGTGATTGTTAATAGTATTAATTCCACCCCATTTAAGTGACCTATACTAATTAAATGAATAATTATAGTGACTACCATCCTATTTCTTTATTTATTTCTCACCCCCTTTCTTTTCCCATATATTTTTTATTATAACCAAACATAAATAGGATTACATTTCTCATTCCTTTTCCAAATCCCACCCCAAAAACCCCAACCAAACACAGCGTAATTGTCAAAAATTAATTAGACGAAAACTAATTAATCGAAGTATGAGATTTGCAAAAGAAATTTCATTCTCATTCATTTAATTATTAAAAATTCTTCTCCTCGACAATTTTCTTTACTTCTTGAAAGTACATACAAGAAAATATTCTCGGAAATATTTATTTTGAGAGATGGTATAACTAAAAAAGAAAATGATGGTACCATGGATGAAAATCGTAGATCAACTCTCTGTGTATTACATTCAATATGACATGTTCTTTACAAACAAAATGTCTCCCAAGCTTAC